AGTTGCAGAGCCCAGTAACCCCCTGCTTACCAAACTGAAAACTTAAAGCTCTCTCACTTACCTTTTAAACTGAGGATTTTCTAACGCATTAAAAGGAAAATGCATGATTATAATCAAGGCTATGGTTCTCAGTCTGTGCTTGGAAGTGGAATCTGATTTATTGAGTGACTCTTGACATGAGCAAAGAGAACACTTAACCGGACCGTGCAGGTTGTCTGGGGGGTTGCTGGAGATTTGGAGGCTGAGAAGGGAATGGTTAAGATTTTTTTGTCAGCTAAAGAAAAACAACCATGGGAGGCATTCGGAGACCCTGAGCAGCAAGAAAGGTTAAAAAACATACTGATTCTACTTGCAATAGTTAGGTTTCAGAGTCAACCCACTAAGGGAAATTGGGTGGCCCGCATTTCTCCAATGCATTGTTTCTGGGGTGTGCAACATTAATGGTATTATTATGGGGCTCTGTTGTTTGCATTTCTAAATTATCATCTGGAACATATTCTGACAACAAAAACTTTTTTTTTTTTTTTTTTTAAAAATGCACCTAGTGCTTTTGAAGCAGAATTCTGTTGCTGAGTAGAGTGCATTGCAGATTCTTTGGCTGCACGACCGTGAAACATAGGGCCACATCTAGGACATCTTCCAAGCCAGGCAATGGCTCCTGCTTCCAGCAGGACTCCATTCTCCTTCATGTTGGAGTGTTTCTGGAAAGACTGCATGCACAGCAAGCGATGCGTGTCCTTCCCAATAGAGATTCATCTGCACCGCTCACTGCTTTCCATATAACATTTCGGTGAGTTGGAGACAAACTAAGTTGAGCGCTAGAATATTAAATTACTCTCAGCTCTCAAATAACAGCAGACTGCCTTTATTGCTGGCTGCGTTGCAGGACGAACTACATTAACAACCAGTCTATCCTCATCTTTGGACCAGAAGCAGGAGTCTTATCATGGTGGGAGATGCTGCTACGATTAGGACTCTTGCTTAAATGAGCGTGTCTTATTTGTAGCTGGATCAGATTTCACTATAAGTTACCACATGTTAAAAAATAAAGGTCCTGGCAGGCATCTCTCCTATTCACACAATGATCCTCACTAATTTTGCCATTAAAAGAATAATCCCAGACCCAATGCCATTAAAAGCCCAATAACATAATTTAACAAAAAAGATGTCAGGCATAGTTTACTGTGATTTGAGAAGAAGAACCGTGCCTAACATTTTTTTCGTTAAATTATCCTGCTTCTCAAATCACTTATTCATTCTGCAGAATTTCTGCACATAAATTTAAGATCCAGAAAATGAACAAACAGACTTTTTAAACTGTCAGTGACCTGCAATGTCTCATATATTTCACTGAGACTTTCAAAACAGCTCCAAAAATCTCACTACTGCAGAACACCTAAAAACTCCCATGGATGGTTTTTATTGCATAGTGCACCACCTTAGAGAGCTTGAGAAAAGTCCAGGATACCTGGGTAATACAGAAGCAACCTTTTAACTAGTTCAGTCATCAATAAATCCTATGAGTTAAAGATGATTATGAATGAACAGAACATTAACTTTTGGACTCCTGCTGTCTTTTGGTGGAACATGGAACAGTTCTACAAAAACCCAATGACTGCCAATATAATACGCAACTATTATAAAGCATCACGGTCTTAATGTTACTTCTGTTTCATTATTTTAAAAAAATTTTAGGTTCTCTCTGCATCAAGCTCGGGAGTTTTTAGCCAGGCTCCAGCGGTAAAGACTTGCGTAAACATGCAGACCCAATTTCAAGAAACACTCTCTTCCACAGAGCTGTTTAATCACAATTTTAGGAGCCGTAAGTCCAAAATATTCTCTGTCACATAAAAAGACATATTAAGGGACTTCAGGAAAAAAAAAGACACAGTTTTCAACTGCAACAACAGCAGCAAATTATGACTATGGCATGAAGCTACGTGGGGACTGAAGATCCTTAAGGCAGGTCTAGATCTCTAGACCCTTGCAGATCTCTTCCTCCCATGTCCTATGACACTATGGCTCATCCAAAGCCAGGCCATTACAGGAGCACTGCACTATCTGTTTGGAGGAAGAGACGAGCTACCGATCGTCACTCTTTGCTGTTCTGGTCGTCATTAAGGCAGGTGGGGAATTCTGCACCAGTATCTGGGGGTTCCTATGGGGACAGGCTGACAGCGCAGCCGCGGGAGAGGGGCTCTGCTCCTACCTCGTGTGAGTTTTAGGACCTCCTTACAGCCAAGAGGAAAATTTGACCCAAAATAATCAGTCTTACATCACTAAGCATTTCTAATCTTTAATACTCATGGTAGCAACAACAGCTGTACAGTACCGGATAGCAAAGAGACTTTTCCTCTCAAAAGGTCCTTGTGTAGAAGGAAGAGTGCGTATTAGCCAAATAAGCAAGTCCCTCTGTTACCCCCCAGGAGGCACATCTCACAGAAAACAAAGTGAGGGGGGGGAAAATAATATTCTCAAGTTAAACACATTTTGCTTTGAGGTCTTTGTGCACAGGACAGGGCTGGGGGTGGCAGGAGGATCTGTAAACGTCAACGCTACCCGTTAGCTAGAACAGAATAACCCTTAATATAAATGTCCTCCAAGACACTGTCATGCCAAGAATTTGCACTTCCAGGTGTGGCAGCCACTATCTAAACGCTATATATCTTATTAAATGACCCTCTAACAATACACACGTACCGAGCAAATAACACTAGAGAGCCTATCCATTCTCCTCTTCCCCTCAGGCTCTAAACGTTATGGCATGCAACTTCCATTTAGACAGTGAGTGTGTTGCAAAACGAAGCGAGTTGCACTTAAAGAACTTTCAGCTGAGCTATTCTCTGTAACCTGAAGCCTTAACGTGCCCGTGAGCACAGTGCACTCTGAACCACTAGCTCAGGAGAATGATGGCTCCGCGGCATTCTGCGGAACATAAAATAAGTAAATACCAAAATGCTAACGTGAAAGCTAGCTCGGTACTCAGATGTTTGCAGACTGCACAAAGTTCCTTGGTTAAAGTTTTTCTGAGAGGACTGGAGCAATTCTGATCTTGAGGAAAAGGTGTGAAAGCTGCAACAAGTTCTATCGTAACATGCAGCTCTTTAGGGCTCTGTTTTAGAATACTGAGCTTAGATATAGGCTGGAGTACCAGCCCATGGAAAGGTAATTTGTCTAGAAGTAGCAAAACACAAGTATAAATACAAGCTTCTTTAACTTCTTTAGGATAGAGATGGCCTTTTGCTGCTGGTACGTACAGCACTGGTGCTTTGGAATTTCCATGCCTTGACCAAAGATACACGTAACAGGAATAACAATGGATGAAAAAGATGAAAGGAGCAGAATTGCCTAAAAACCTCCCAAAGAACCAGACTACCATAAAGAACCAGGTAAAAGAGCTAGCACTGCTGGAGGACTAGGAGAACTTCTTTCCTTTTCAGAAAGGATACTTGTTCATTTTAATTTGACTGTGTCCCTCAAGGCCCAAATGTCACTTTTAAAAAGTTCAGCTAAGTCAGTAAGTCATTGTCCTGGTTTCAGCTGGGACAGAGTTAATTTTCTTTCTAGTGGTTGCTGTGTTTGCAGACTTAGTATGAAAGGAATGTCAATAATGCATATTGTTTTAGTTGTTGCTAGGTGATGTTCATACTATTCAAGGATTTTTCCCAGCTTCCCACAGAAGCCGAGAAGGAGCATGCACAGAACATTGGAATGTCCAATGGAATGTTCCATACCACAGACACCATGGGGTCTATGCGGTATATAAATGGGGGTGGGCTGGAGGGTAGGAATCCACGATCACTGCTCGGGACAAGCTGGGCAACCAATTCACCAGATGGTGACAGTGACTTGGGCGTATTACTTTATCTTGTATATTCTCTTAAACTGTCTTTATCTCAAACCACAAGGCTTTTTGTTGTTTTTTTTCTTTCCCCCTCCTTTTCTCCCTACCCTTCCTGGGGGGAAGGGGGGAGAACTGCACAAGCTGCCGCGTGGTCCTCACTGCTGGCTGGGGTTAAACCACGACAATCATTCTCTAATAACAGGACCAAAGTATTCACCACAGGTAAGGGCGGGGGGTTTAGCGGTTCATACAAGTAGCTTTTACAGATGGAGACACAACCGAGACAGAGTGCTTGGGCATCACGCTGGCTGCGAGCTCACATCATGCTAAACGAACATGGTACACGGGACAGGCTGGAAGCGGCTGAGCGGTCTAAATGGACATGTCAACAAGCAGCGACTCCAACCTGACGAGCCAGCAATGACATTCTGCTAGAGGCCGAGGCAAGTCTTTAAAAAGTTACAGCTCTTTTTTCGTGTTCAAACTTCCCAATTACCATAATCATCTTATTAAACGTTAAAAACAAGGCAAAACTGACAGCAGTCTGCCCTCAGCTACTGCTTTACTGTTAAGAGCCGGGACTCCTGCTCACACCCCAGCTTGGGACGGAGACGGGAACTGCAAAGAAGTGCTTCAATCGAGTAAACGTGACGTTAGCCACTGAAATTCAGCCTACTGTTCACACCTGCATCTCGGCCATCTCAGCTTTTTATTTTGTCCTCCTGGTTAAATAAAAACAATCAGACGACATTCAGACGCTTTCCTGCTCGTCCTCTGGTTTTGTCTCCTTAAAAAAACACCCTTTTGCCCATCCAAACCGCACGAAATATGCCCGCGACAAAGTGTGCTGCCACTTGAAGGTCCCTGTTCCAACTCATCTGGCAAATGCAGAGGATCAACTCACCCGACGAGGTTGAGGCTTTGGGGCCTGAATAGCTAAGAGGACAAACGAGCCTTCCAAAGACTCGATATTAAGAGTAGAAAACCGGCAGAAAAAGTGGGACAAGGCCAGTTCATGTTCGACAGCTCCAAGCTGCACAAGGCAACTTGTGCTCTGAGGATGTTGGGCATTGTGCTTCATTAGGAAACAAAATATAAGCTTTCCACTCCATTAGGAATGACTTTAGGAGTGAAAGCACATAAGACGACGACTCAC